CCCCCCCCTGGAGTCTTAATGAAAACAGGAAGCCGCCTTCTTCGGAAAACCTGTGCTCTTCAGTGCGACTTTGCCAGAAGCCCAAATAAAGCCGGCAATGTGAGCCTCTCCACCGAGGGCTCACTCTGCCCCCGGGCCAGACACTTCATCAAAGAGTCTGTGTTCTGGAGGCAGGCCCAGCAAACTCAGCCCGGGTCACCTGAGGAAGGGCAGGGCCACAATTGGCCACTGTTCCCGAGCATTGAAGGGCACTTCTCAGCCTAGTTCCTGACAGGTGACCAGTAACCAACAGTTTCCCTCCAACGGCTGAGCCCTTGCCATGGACCTTAAAGAAAATGAACGAAACAGGCCCTTTATCCGATGCAAAGGAAGCAGAGCGTGCTTGCAAGAGTATCACAGAGACTTTACAAAGAAAAAAGGCAACTGTCTGAGCCGGTGGCAGCTGGCATGGCTCTTCCGTTTTTTCTTGAGGACATTCCCACTGCATCATTTTCCATAGAAAAAGTGAGTGGATTTAGTGACATGTCAACACTCCCACCGCCCGACACACACAGCATACTTTTCAGCAAAACTTTACTGTTCTATATTTAGGTACTTTCCAGGCTCAGCAAGTAGAGAACCAAAGGTCCGGGTCATTCTGATTATCTCCAAGTGACACTTTGGACTTCTCCCTGGGAAATCAGGGACAGTTAGAATTTAACCATGGCAGACTTCTTTTCCAAGCACTGCTGAATCCCGAGGATAGAAGGGACCCTGGAGTCCATATTTCTTTCTTTAGCAACAAAAGAAATAAACAAACAGACAAATACCCATCCCTAGCCCCCAACAAACAACTATTCTCAAAGTGCCCCTGTACAATTATCCTGGGCACCAAGTACACTGAAATATCTAGTCTCGATTAAATATTTTTTATTTAATTTAATTACCCTCCCCCTCCTTTTAAGACAGAGTCTCATTAGATATTCCTGGCTGCCTTGGAACTAGCTCTGTAGCCCAGGCTAGCCTCCAACTCAAAGATTCCCCAGCTTCTGCTTCCTAAGTGTTTGGAAAAGAGGAGTGGCCACCACATCCAGGACACAATCTCACTATTTTTTTTTTTTTAATCTCCTGATCCCCAGTGTATCCTTACACAAGTACCTGTCAACACACCTATGGCATTTATGGGGCCCGTATTTATTTTTCAATTTTTTTTGTACAAGTACATCTTACCTTTCTTTTTTTAATACTATGAACATCCTCAGAGCAATAGATTAAAATTTCAAAAACTTTCCTCACTGACTCACACGCCAGTTAACAAGATGTTGGGAAGAAAGTAGATGTTTAAAACTCCTTTAACCGTTATTTTTAGGGTGTGGAACTAGGGGTGATATATATTTTGTGCTGTATAAATTTTTATGCCTCATGAATTTTTTTTTTTACATTACCATAGAAGCTACGGTCCCTACAGGAATGTACTGCAGTTACAATCTAAGCACACTCAAGCAGGCAGGCATGAAGGTGGCCAAGGGAGACAGTTGTTACTATTCCTCCCCCACCAGAGAATCAGCTTATTTTTACATGAGTAAATATGAAGCCAGTATTTCTCCCAATCTCCTTTTACTGTTAGCATGCCCATAGCAGATAGCTCATGAAACAACCCTACTCCCGCCCTGACCCCAACCTGAACCTCTCTCAAGAGACCTAGAAATAATCATTTGAATTCTTATTTTTCCTTCCACGCAGATATGACACTAGGGGTCGACAGCTGTCAACTTGGACTTGAATTTGCATGAGGGGGTGGAGGAACCTTGTGCTAGAAGGAGTCTGGATCTGGAGCGGCTCTGTGGATGAAAGCTAGTATTAAAACTCTTGAAGAGCCTACATCTCTGTACTTACTCTATAGTAAAGTGACCTTGAGTTCTGAGAGGTGCAGTAGCGTCTGTCCTATGTGCTCTTTTCACTGCTATCTCCACACTGGGGGGTTGTAGCATAAAAAGAAGAAAATGCTACATGAGAAAACTGAGGAGGTGTTACAATAATCAGGCTTTTATTAAGTTGGTAAATTTGAGAGTAAGGAAGTATAAAAACAATAGACTTTTAGGGGAAAAAAAACCCTACCCGGGTTATAAGAAGACTTTTTAGTTGTCTCAAAACCTTTTTAGAATAGCAGAAATATATCCACTCTCACACAGCCAAAACTCCACTAGCTGTGTGGAATTCAGAGAGCAATGGCTTCCAACTGTTCTGGAACTGGAGAGCTGCCCAGGTGTTTACGAGAATTTTCTGAATGCTTGGGATGCAGAGCTGGAGTCTGACTACCCCTAGCACCCCTCTGTCTTCGTTATATTACAACTTTTAATGAAAATTTATTGGGTGCAGAAAAACAATCCCATTCTGTTGAAAGAGTGGGAAGAAAAATTCATAATAAAACACGGTGTAGGCTCGCTGAGAGAAAAATGAATGACAAACCCAGCATGAGTTGAAGTTAGTTACAAAGGTATTCGATCAACAAGCCAGGAGATAATCTGTGAACAAGTGGCCAAAACTGAATGGTATGCTCAAAAATGGAGTTCTGAAGATCAAGGAAGAAGGAAGGGCTGTGTCTGTGGGATCAGGGGATGTGAAAGATAGGGGATGATACCGAAGAGGCCCTGGTTTTGGGACCAAGAGCTGAGCAATCTACCCCCTGTAGTATTTAGCCACCAAGTAGGGGCTAAAGGCTAATTAAAGCTATAGCAAATATGCCCATAAGGACTGGACTGAGCTTGGCAAAGAGAGATTGAATTCAGAGCACCAATTAAAATAGTTTGGGGGCTTTCTTTTTTTAACTTTTTAAAAATACAGTTTTGGGCTGGAGAGATGGCTCCACAGTAAAGAGCACTGACTAATCTTCCAAAGGTCATGAGTTCAATTCCCAGCAACCATATGGTGGCTCACAACCATCTGTAATGGGATCTGATGCCCTCTTCTGGTGTGTCTGAAGACAGCTACCTTGTACTTGTCATATACATAAAATAAATAAATAAAATCTTAAAGTGAAACAAACAAACAAACAAACAAACAACCTCTAGTCTTATGGTGTGTCTCTCTGTCTGACCTGGAAGTGACTGAGTTCAAGGACAGCCTGGCTTATGCAGTCAGATCTGCCTTCCTCTCAAGTGCTAGGTTTAAAGGTGTGTGCTATTATGCAGGACAGCAATTGATAAGTCTTTCTAGCCACACTGGAAAGTGTAGAACAAAGATGATAGGTATCCTTGTGTTCAACTTATAATCAATATTGAAAATTAAATAATCTACTAAAAATTTTATTCTCCATTCCTCTTCACTGATTAGCACTCTTCTGTCGTAGGAGCTGGGGATACAATGTAAAGGCAAGAAACAAGATCTCCACTCTCCCGTGGCTCACACAGTGCAGGTGGCACACAGAGGAAAAAGAAATAGAGAAGATGCAGAGCAGGAGTAGGGTCCTCAGCAGCCTTGATAGCAGCCTGTCTGGGTGCCTCGGCTTCTTGCTGAACCTGGGCTGCTGAAACAGTGTCTTAGGCCAGCATCCTTCCTGAGCTGGCCTCACACCTGGAAATCAAAGGTCATAGCGTCCCTTTTCTTCCTCTCTCTACCCTGTCAGTCTGGTCTAAAAATTGGGCTAACCACAAAATAACACGACAGCCTCAATTAGGGAAGGCTCCCCCAAGTCCAAGACAGATTCCCATGAGTTCAGAAGGAAATCAGAATCATCGCACCGATAAGGCTAGCTTTTATGTGTAAATTTATCTCGTGGAAAACTCCAAACCCCATGAAAAAAGGCCCAACTGCAGCCTGAAAAGCAGTACAGCACTTTCTTTCGGCTCTTCTCCGTCCATCAGTGAGACACAGATCTGCCTGAAATCATTTTATCCAGGGTCATAATGTGTTATTTACTCAATTTTAACTTTATAAACAAACGGCATTTCCCGTCGAAATGATATTTGATTTGGGAAGACCTAAAACTGACTCTGCTCACCAGGCAGTAGGCTCAGACAGCAGCGGTTCTCAACTCAGGTCTGTCCTCCAGGGTGACATCTGGCAACATCACAAGGCAGTGCTACAACAGGTGAGTGGCTTAATGAGTGATGGCCTGAGGTGGCACTGAATGTCTGATCTGCCCTTCTCCCAAGACAGCCCTTCAGGCTCCAAATGGCAGTAGTGCCAAAGCTGAGAAATCCTTGCTGAAGAAGTCCAGCAGAGCAAAACATCTGCACACAGTAACATCTGGGCTGTTGCCTTTTAACCCTCCATTTCTCAATGGGCTATAACACTGTGTGCCAGGGACAGGGGGATCTTTTAAAGACAGAGTCTGCTATGTAGCCCTAGGGCATGGAGCTTGCTCTGTAGACCTCAGACTTGGTGATGCTCCTGCCTCTGCCCTGTGAGTAGTGGTAGTACAGACCTGCACTTGCGTGCCTGGCTGTCCATCTTTTCAGTCAGAGTATATTCATTGTCTAAAACAATGAGCTTTGTGATGACATTCTCACACGTGGGTACCATGTACTTCCGTCACACTCCCACACCCCACTCCCTGACTCACTCCTCCTGTCTCCTACTCCCTCCCTTGTGCTCCCTTTTCTAAAGAGTTCCTGTTTTACTTGCTCCAGTCTATGACAGAAAACACGCAGTGTTTATCTTTCTGAGAAAATGCCACTTTCGAGTAAGAAACACTCATTATTTTTCTAGACTTCTACCATAATGAACTATTCTTTATTACGAGCCAAAAAGCACGAGACATTTCCAAACTAATGTGCCTTGGACTTTTAAATGGACAAGGCTCTGATATTATAACTCTATTAGTCAGGGCACAATGGCTTCATTGTTTTGCTGCACACTCTTTAAGCCCAATTACTGAGCGAGCCATGAAAAATAATTACACCCGTGTGCCACAACCTCACACAGGATTAATATGTTTATATTCAACAGACACTGACTGCCGAAGCTAAAGAGTTAATTCTCATGAACACACTGTCCCCTCTTACAGGAAGCACAGGGACCTGACTTAAGAGCTGAATCAGTCCCATAGAAGTGTGGCATTGTCACAGATTCCTACAATGACAAGTGGCTGAGTTGGAGGCATCATGGAAGACCCGCAGCTATGGCTGGGAAGCAGGAAAGAAAGCCATGAGGATGAACTGGAGGGAAAAGCTCACAAAGTGAACGCTTCAGCATTTGGAGCCATCAGAGTTAGCAAGACAGCTCCTCCAGGAAAGGACGGTGGTATAGAGAAAGCAGGAACTGGAACTGGACCGTGCCCTTCAGAACAGGTCTAGCAGGAAGCACTCCTGCTGACAACTGAGCACTGGGCTTTCATATCCAAGCACCTTCCCCCCAATACCAATCTACACCATTTATTATATGGAAAACCACAAGAGAGATGCCTGTAACATTAGTATTCTGTATTCTGCCATAAAAGAATGTGTGGTGGCAGGTAAGGCACAGTATCTTGAATTTCTCAAACAGTTACTTTGTTTTACTGACTTACTTAGTTTGCTTCTTGAGACAGTCTTGATATGTTGCATCCCAGGTCTGCCTCAGCTACCCAAGTTCTGGACAGAGTTAGTTGCTTTCAAACCTGCTTTTTTCCTAAAACCCATCCATTTATCCAGCCACAAAAAAGAGTGCTAGGCTCTGTTTGAAGAAAGCTGGACCTCTCTCTCTGTCTTAGCCCTACCTCCCTACAGCTATTCCAAACATTCCACGCAAATAAGGAGAGTGAAAGGGTATTTCAAAAGCTTTAAGTACGAGCCTCCCTGACACCAACCAGAGGGTAACAGCAGCTTCAGTTTGCTTTATGTGGCTGCCAGACAGCATGGGGATTCTTTCTTTAAATCTTTAGATTTCATCGCCGTGTTAGTAAGCTATGTCACGGTTGTTAACCTGCACGTGATCTTTACACAAGCCATCCTTCCTATGCTAGCTCCACAGTGCAGTCCTCACTTTAGGAGGAAGACAGGTTTAGTTGTTCACTTAGTAACTATTTATGAAGAAGCCAACATGTGCCAAGCTGCTTGGTGCTGAACAGAACAGCCACAGAGTGAGCCTGCGCGGATGGAACTTACAACCTACGGAAGACAGGCAAGTGTTTGAACAGGTTAGTGACTGCCTTAAGTCACTGCTGTGGAGGTGGCCTCACATGGGCAGGACAGGGGTGACCTTTGAGATATGCACTTGAGAGGTAGGTCCACTGGGCAGCCTATAGGGTGTGGGGGAGGGGATGAGAAACAATCTAGCAGAAGAGGGGTATAGGGCAAGACCAGTCTTGTATCCTGAAATGCATCTTGAAGCTATTGGGTGTTTAAACAAGGGAGTGAAATGGTCCATTTACATTTTAATAAGATTTCTCCGGCTAGTCGAAGGATTATGTATTAAAATTCCTTTCTATAACTTCTGGTAGGCTTCCAAGGATTGCTATAACAAATTTTCTCTTCAGACTCACAAGTGAGTACTGTCTGCTTAACAATAGAGTCAGTGTGGCATGACATTAAATTACCCAAACCTACACGTACTGTATTTGGGCAGTCTGACTGACTTGTGTCTTGGCGTCCATCTCTCCACCTCTACACCCTGTATTTAGGAGGAAACTGAGAAGTCCTGACAAATGTCTGCCTCTGTGAGCTGAGCCAGAGACCAGACCCCGAGACCAAGGCTGTGGCAAGCTCTATCTGCTGTCCCATTCTGTCACTAAAAAGGAAAATATTTTTCTTTAAGCCGATGATTCACTGTGGAGAAAAATGGTGGGGGAGGGGCTTCCTCTTCTGGAGGTCATTAAACAACAGTCAATCTAATCTGTGAAGGACAGAGGTGGCGTGAGTAATGGCAGGAAGCAGGCAGAGGGCATTTAGGGAATCC